GGAGCATAATATCATATCAAAATTAGATGTGTGGTAAAAGTTTCCAGTCTCGAAACATTGTTTATGTTAATTCAATTGTTATCGGATGTCGACAATAGCCATTAACAGTACTTAGGAGTGTGTTCCGGACTAAACTGTCTGTAAACAAAATTCATGAATTGACGACCTTTCACTGTAAGTATCTTTCGGGTCAAAGTTCAAAGTGAACTTGTTTAGATGCAAACAGGGTCTGCAAAACACGAAGGGGAATTTTGTAAACGTGATTTTCTATATGTACCTTCATATATCTACCCAGCTTGTTTTTTTGACATTTAAACCATTTGCTGAAATTCTCAGAATTTGTGTTTGTTGCCACATAAAAAGGGTCATCTTGCCTGCAGTATGTAGGTGGACGACGGGCTTTGTAGGTTTTATATGTGGCGACAGGGCAGCCAGATAAGTTCTGGGGGGTTACTCAGGCACGTGGAGGAACGGCTCTCACCTCTCACACTTTTTAGGGTAAGAACTCGGACCAGTATTCGTCGGACATTCACAGAATTCAATATATTTATGTTTTGAAAATCTTTGCATAAGTATCCATCGTCTCTTTGCACAAAACAAAAACGTTTTTTGTACCTAAATTGTTCGTAACCAACATTCAGGGCTGCTAGTTCGAAGTTAATGTGATTCATTAAGCCTATTAAATCTTTGTGGCATCGACCCATACCGATCGTCATTTCGCTTAAATCGCGGGGAATGTTTGTAATGGATGGGGCTATATAATGGACAGCTTGTGTTAGTGTAACTGATTGACTAGCCGTTTCTGAGTCACAACCTGTAAACGATAGCATCATAACGTGCATCTGGAGATTCTCATACCACGTGTGGTATATTACTATTATTGATATAACAGTTACCATGTTTTTACAATGATCTGAAAGTGGAATAGCACATCGTATTGTGGTAGAAATGCCAAAGACTGACGGAATGTACATATGCTTCCCTTTTATCTTGGTCTTTCTATGCTTTTTCTATAATGGAATACATAAAGAATATAATATTAGACGTGATGATTTACATATTACTCGGTCATATAATACTTTTGTTATACAAATTCTATTGAAATTAGATCTAAGACCGAGGGTCAATGTGCTGTTCTGTCTAGTTGTGTTTCTGTGAAAGACAAAGAACTAGATTGCAAGGTATGACATGCACATTCTTAACATTATAATGGACGGTAGCACGTTTTGTAAAATATGTTTGTGGAACGACTGGGATTCCTACTACTATAACGAACCTAGCTTTCAGTTAAGTCTTGTCCCAAGTATCTACGTCGGTAAAACAATTAGGTATCACTGCATAATGATGGAATAGAGATAATTCAATACTGATCTGAAGGCTTTTAATACATATTTGTATTCACTAATAATACACACGTGAATTACCCATTTCGTTCAGAGTTGTTCGCAAAATGACATCTTGACAGATAAAGAGACAAAGCATGTTCTAATGATGAAACAAAGATTGTTCGAAACATAAACTGTGGAAAGTAAAGAAGAAGAAACAGGTCAGAGGAACCCAAAAGCATATCCCCAAATTGCATATTTTAACTGTTTTGATACATCAAGTCCAATCGCACGGTTACTTTTATGAAATTATGTATTCAGATAACTAGCCACGCTGAATTAGAAATAAATTCCCGGACAACGAGTCGGGGAAGGGGGGATTCAATATTGTTTTAACGTGTTGATAAAAAGTACTAATGTTAAATTATATCGATACACTTTGTTGTATCATTGATATCTTTTTCTTGCAAAGTGCATGGATAGTTGATACATTAATGTATTCGGTCACACATTTTATATTACGTTATACCGCGAAATTTTCGCCGTAGTTTTACTATTACCTTTTTCTACGCCCTCCGTAATGAAGGCGATTTTTTCATAACAGCGAATATAAGTTAACAATGTTATTTAAACAGTATTTAGATGTGATAGGCGAAATTAACACGGGGTACATATGAATTTCGACGGCGAAATGCGAAAATTTATTTTGGCGAAAGTTTCCCAGTACACAGTAAATAAGAAAAAAGGCTATCACTAAACACTAAATAGTTTGTTATTAATTGTATTAACTATGTGATGAAAGATTGAGTCATATCTATAAAACCAGGACGGATGTGTATGCAATGAGGAAGTTATTTTAACCACGCACAACAATCAGTGAAACAATACAACAATGCACTTGTACCAATCCTGAAATGGATCAGGGATAACGCTTGTCATATAATGACTTTTCCAAGGAATATTATTCACCAGCTGCCCGGCTGCAGTAAATGTGAATGACTCATTGATTTAAGTTATTGTTTGCTATTGCGATAAAATGTCTGTTTACTCTCATATCTATCTTTATGTGAATATCACCACCAACCCATACGCGTCGTTTTGTGATATCATGAAATACTCCATAACTGATTTCTTTCTACATTTACCGTATATCTTATAGAAGTGATCCATTGTATTTACATAGCAAGTAACTAGAGAAGTAAATTAAACATATCCCAATCCCGCAGGTGTATGATAGAACAGGCCAGGTAAAGAAATGCCCTCAGCATTCTTCATCAAAGAGTCTAGCAAAATGGGGTATGAGGTATTTCGCTGACCAGTTCGATATACTAACAAAGATTTAGAAAAAGCTGATAATTACAAGTCAAAACGCATTTTAATGGTTTCTTAGATTTTTCTTGTGATTAAAATTGGAGGGTAAATATCACACTGAAGGATGTAGGATGGAGAACATGAGAACAAGCATAGGGTTTATTCGAAGTTTGAAACCTAATGTGATGATATGTGTGTGTGTGTATTCTCATATCTATCTTTATGTGAATATCACTACCAACCCATACGCGTCGTTTTGTGATATCATGAAATATTCCATAACTAATTTCTTTCTACAATTAACGTATTTAGCAAGTTACTAGTGAAGTAAATAAGCATATTCATTCTTCATCAAAGAGTCTAGCAAAATGTGGTATGTGGTATTTCGCTGACCAGTTCGATATACTAACAAAGATTTAGAAAAAAAACTGATACGTACAGGTCTTAACGTATTTTAATGGTTTCTTAGATTGTTTCTGATGATTACAATTGGAGGGTAAATATCACACTGAAGGATGTAGGATGGGAAACATGGGAACAAGCATAGGGTTTATTCGAAGTTTGAAACCTCTCTCGTGGAATATTCCTACACTTAACACGTTTTTAACAAGATTTATTGTCTCTTCGTGCAATTAAAAATTCGTAAGTTTGTCAGTAGTTTTATCTTATCCTTACAGTGTAAGAATAATCACTGGAAACACGTAGAAATGAAGAAAAGTTTTTGAAGATTTTGTTTGAAAATACAGAGAGCCGAACAAAGTAAACATTATACTGCACCATATGTCCATTTAGTCCATCCAGGGCTCATAAGTGGTACTAACACAGCGAAAATAAACCCTTTATGCTGGTGCAAACGTAAAACTTGACCTACTTTAAGCTAGTATTTCATGCAGCTTTGCCAGTTACAAGGAAGGCTACTGCCCTCAGCGGCGACTAATAATCCACCTGCAGCGTCAACCACCTTTACGGAGAAATGATTTACCTATTTCATTTATCTATTGAGGCAGAACACTCATATTACGGATATTGTAAGTGGCAAACAACTTGAGAATTCCCCGATCAGAATGTTAATTTTGTTTCAGTCTGTTGCAAATGTAATATGTAGAATATGAATGTCTCAAGCTTTTAACAAAAGAAATCTATACTGGCTTTAATCTGTTTATCGTTTCGCTTTGTGACACCTTCAATATCTCTACATTTGCGTGTGATGAGAAGTTTGTTTCAACGACGGCAGGAAATTGCACTCACTCTTTTTTACAAGTTAGGAATGCATATTATCTGAAACAGTTTATTTTTCATCCGTTAACCATCTAATGATCTAATGATCAATCATTTCTGCAAATATCAGTACACGGTTTACAATACAGAATCAATAATTAGCGAGTATGGAATTTATCGGTAAAGGCAAATATTTGACCGAAAATTCGCCGGTACAAAGTATTTCAAAGTAAAAAAATAATGTTTTTTCATCATATAGTTTTCGCTTGTGATTTAGTAAAAAGTTGCTGAAGTATTCATGAATACAAAAAAAAATAACTTCCTTTTTAAGATATACTGAAATGTGAATAATTTTCGACGTATTTTCTGAAGCAAATCGTCAAAATTCCTAAGACACACATGTTCTTTTTTTTCAGTTATAAGAAAAATATTAAACAATCAATTTAAAATTTGCATTTCAAATTTTGGGTTAAGATCAAGCTTTTGACATAATTTCAGAAAAAACCCCAACAACCACCAAAGTCTTTGTGATGGTTAAAATATTTAAGAAATGACAAAAGAGTTTCTTAGTACTTTCCTGGTACTTTCACTACTGTTAATCAGAGAAAATGTTTATTTATGTTGACAGGACAACAACACAACACAGAAAATTGTGACGTCGAAATACAACCTACTAAAAATGACGCCAAAATCACACACACACACATATATATAGGATCTTACATGAGTTTCCATTTCATATGAGATTTATAAAACGAGTCTAAGAATTTTTCAGTTTAGCGAGCCTCTCTCTAGCTAAAATGAAAAATTCGTGACGAGTTCCATCAATTTCATATAAAATGAAAACGAGTGTAAGGTCCTTTTTATCACATAATCAAGATGTGTGGCATTTTTTCGTGCAAAACAACAAATTTCATGCAACCTTGAAATGTAAAAAAGCCGCCATTTTGACTTCAGTGCGTAAGTCTGTCACGCCATGTACTTTTCCTAGACGTGACTTCACAATTGAAACAATTAAAACTTGCAACCAATAAAAGGGGTGATAGGTCATATTACATGGGTTAATCCTTTTGGGATTGCTGATCAGCTAATTATCTTACATATTGCCTGTGCCATTTATGTTATATAGTCGACTCTTTATTTCAGAACGATTCGCCAAGCAACACGAGACCATTAAACATGAAAAGTCTTCTATTTGTCTTTTCATTCATCATCTTGTCATCCGGTAAGAATGTAACAAAGCTATTGAAATCATGCATTCACAGTGAATGGATAAAATGGCGTATTTTTATTTCTAAACAAAAAAATTATCAAATACAAAACAAGATAAATAAAACTAGCTTTATTGAACTTGTTGTACAAATGTCAATTGACAGGAATGCATATTGTTGGATAGTTTATTTGAGAAAGTTACCCGAATCCTATTTTGATAAATTATGACATATTATAACACTATATATATGGGTACATATCGAATTTAGAAATAAGAAATATGTTACTTGGTAGGTGTCAGGAACAACCACCACGTGAAGTAAGCTCTAAAACAAATAACTATCTTTGTTTTTATACATTAAACTGTACTGATGGACATTATTTATGTAAAAATTCTCCATCTTGCATGATTTTGACTATATTATTTTGCCAAACGAAATCTATGGTGGCTGATTTGTGCTATTTCGTTGTTTGCCAAGGGAAGATTTAGTAACTTTTTCTTCCTGTTATTTCGGGCTATTCTTGTGGGGCGAAAAGACGAAAAACATGAAAATTAATACCTACTACCCTCGGGTCTTTTTGGGGCCAAAAGATAAAAGAGCGAGAATTAAAAGCTACTAAATATCAATCTCGTCTTTTTCATACAAAAACAACGAGATAGCATAAATCACCAAACAGTAGATCTCGCTGACGACATTTACTTTCAAACGTGTCTAGTTCACTCAATTTGTTTTTCTTTTGATGCAGAATGCGTATTTATTGATAAAAATAATTTTCTGCTTTGTTTAGCTACTAGAGTGCGTCTCCGCGGTATTGGTAGTTCACCTCATCAAGGAAGAGTCGAGGTGTATCACAATGGTTCATGGGGCACAGTATGTGACCGTGACTGGACGGATAACGAGGCATCAGTGATTTGTAGGATGCTTAATTTTAGGTATTATATGTATGACTGTGTAATTATGTTGATAATGATATATATTGTTATCAAAGCTTGATTTCATACACAAACAATGTACGTATTAAACGTGCCCTAACGTCTCAAAACCGACTGGTCCCTATCCCTAAATTCCTGAAACGTTGCGACACGTTAGCTTGATAAAGGTCCAGTCGGTGCTGAAACTTTCAAACCCGTTTAATACGTATATTGATTGTGTATTTAACTTTGATATCACATATTTCCAAACTGTTTGGATGGTCGGGTGGTGCAGTGGATAACGCACTTGCCTTTCACCAAGGCGGCCGCGGTTAGATTCTCCGATCGGCCGTAAAAAGGTACGTGGTCTCTTGCCTGACTAAGTAGGTTTACACCGGGTTCTTTGGTTTCCTCCAACATTAAAACACACCGCGCTTTCATTAGGGCCAACAAGAGTGAATAATATAAGTTGCAAAAACTTGTTTTTTGATTGTTGTAAAATAAATAAAGTATATTTTAACTAATGAATCTTATTGAAGATATATCTTATTTGTTAGATATTACCCTTAATAAAACAATATGATATAAACACGATTAAACAAGAAATTAAGTGTCCATACTAATAAAACAGCAAGAGCAGTTTACATTTGACCTCCAAAATAATGCAGCTAAGGATTTTTACCATAAAAACTGTATGTATGCATTATATCTAACATTTTGCGAAAAAGAGGTAAAAGACGTCAGACATTGGTTTGACAGCGTTAGTTATGTTGCTTTACACTGTAGTATGTGAACTGCTAAATGTGCAATTTAACAGAGGATATGTTAATCAATTTGTGGAGATTAACCGTTTCAATATTATGCATTTTCTCTTTAAAATGCACTCAATTCATCTATGCTATTTAGTTTGCAATATTCATGTATATTGCATTTCTACGTCTCATTCAAAATAACAGAATTTGTCATCGGAATCTTTTTTGTAGCAAAGGAGGGAAGGCATACGGTCAAGCTCGTTTTGGTGAAGGAAGTGGACCGATATTGCTAAAAAATGTCAAATGTGTCTCGGAATATATCAGTGATATACCGGACTGCTATCATAGAGGCTGGGGAAATCATAACTACTGCAATCATAGGAATGATGCAGGAGTGGCATGCACGCTATCAGGTAAATACTAATATAATTTTAACATTGCATAAAAATGATTAAATTACCACGAGGGAAATTTAAAAAACAACTTAAACGGCTCTACGAAAAAATAGAATGATATCACTAACAACACAACATAATTGGAGGTGAAACAGGGATTATGAAAACTGAGTAGAATGTAGATATATGGTATGTGGGTCGGTAATGAAATGGTTACTGAAATATTGAAAACGAAATATCAAAAATGTATCAAAAAATCTTTGAGCATGCTTCATTTACTTTTTATTTATGGTTTTTTTCTTAAAACATGAACAGTTTTCAATTTTAATTTATCCAAGGTCGCCTCATTTTCCTTCTTCAGATTCCATTATATTCAATCACATATAAAAAAAAACACATTTTATTATGTATAAAGAAATTGTATGCTCTGCTCGAATTAACAGCTGTCTCTGATAAGTGTTTTTCAATGCTGCCACGTTTATTATCTTACGATACTTTTCATTGGTTAATTACACTGTATTAATGAACGATAGACCATGATCTTGCATGTTCTATTTTCCAACAGATCATGAACGTGCGAACCTTCCTGTATTGAAAATATAAACAAACATGAGACTTGTTAAATAAGAATGCACAAATTGATATTTTTGCAAACAAACGAAATCTTTCTTGTTAACCATTTAATCTTCTAAAATCCTGTCAGGTCTACAATATAGATGACGAACGACGACAACGACGACGAGATAAGGATTAAAATAAGAAATTTAATGAAATTAAGTGGACGTTAAATTATGAATTAATGTTTTTCTCAAAATCAATGTTTTGAGGAATATTTTCCAAACAATTTAAAATTTCTTGTTGGATTAAATAACAATGACAGTTGGGTGTAATGAAGGATGGACACACATATGTTGTTGTACCTATAAGATTTGGGAATACACTACACCAAAAGTAAGTTACACTTCACTTGTTTCTTCCTTCATTGGTGTTCCGGCCGACTTAATTTAGGTGGAAATTCTATTTGGCCTAAGCTACAGTAGAAACAAAAAGGGAGGTTCATAAGCGCTTAAATTATATGGATTAAAAATAATTGGTTTATTTCAAAATCATAGGTGGGTGACTTGTGAATAAAATTAACCGTGCCAAAATTGAAAACTTTTCTGATCAAGGAAACGGCAAATCCCGGGGCTTAATAAAATAAAAAAAATATAACCCCACCAGGGTCGTCCACCTTGTATCGTCAAAGATGAACGTAAGACACACATTTGCATCTGTGCCTGTAAAATTTGAGTATAGAAACAGTACAAAAAAGATATGGTTGTCCCATTTTTCTAGGACTCATCGGTATGCTAGGGGCGAAATTTTGGACACAATTTTGACGCATCTATGTAGCAAGCAATGACACTGTACGGTAGCCGGATGCCATAATAGCTCCCGATGATGCAAGACTGAAGAATGTTTACCTGGACGGCTGGGACCATCTTGTTCCGAGGCTTATGACTACTAATAAACATTCTATCTACTCCTTAAGCAGGAAGTTGTGGTATATCTTGATATTTCGATAGGTTGTTAATCTTCGTCTTCGATTACTAGCCCTCCGTCACTGGATCGGGGAAGCGATGGTTTTTCTCCGGGTACTCTATCTTTCTTTTCTCTATCACCAAGTTCTGGCACGTTCTTAAAACACCATATATTAATAAGCCGTATAACACAAACAAACAAACAAACATCCAAACATACAGGCTTATATTCAATCTTTTGGTAGCTACATGTTCTGTATAACCACTGATTTAAAATTGGACAGGTGTGCACACAATGCGTTGTTTTATATTTTGGTAAAACCAAGCAAAACCCTGCAAACATTTTATGTTTTATATTTTTTGTTTTTATTTGATAACACCATAGAATGCGAAAGTGGAACATTTGGAACAAATTGTTTACAAAGATGCCACTGTAAAATTCCTGGTTGCCACAACATGACTGGAGTCTGTAACAACGCAGGTTGTCAAGATGGCTGGGAGGGTTCATCATGTGACAAAGGTACATGTAGACATATTTCATAAAATCGTCCTTACTTGTGGAAGCAAACGTACGCAGTTAACATAGAGAACCCATTTCCAAACAAACGTTCAAAATATTGAAGGCATGGTTATGTATTCGAATAGAATTTTATTATAAGGTTAACGATATCATGAAACTAATTTGTACACAACCAAAGAACGTATTTTTCAGCTGATTGTATCAATTCAAAAAACGTTATTCTATAAGAATAAATGTCATCTATGCTAGTTAGCTAAACATGCAAATAACTTAAACAGAACCCAAACCCCGCAAAGAGTTTATCTTTCATATTTTGTCTTCTATATTATGTTGTATTTGTTGACACAATTGAAAGCAAAAAGGAAACATCTGGAACAAACTGTTTTCAAACAAAGAAATTAAAACAGGCATATAAAAAACTTCTTACGGCGTCAGAAGTGGTATAAACTTGCAGTTTGTGCATCTCGTTACAAATATTTGCAAGTGCAAAAGATTTGACTTATTTAAATAATTGGATTACCTAAATCACCTTGTTCATTGTTACGCCAATGGACACTGAGGTAGACACAAAACACGCTTACATTACCTTTTACATGGAAGAAGAGATATAATCAACATTTATTTGTATGTTATGTGATAATGATTTAATGTAAAAGTCACATCAAATAAATAAACAACATGAACCATGACAGTTATTATGAAATCATAAGTTATTACGTAATACGTTGATACATTCACGGTGAATGGTTAGAATGGCGATTGTTTTTCTAACCATAAATATCAAATACAAAATAAGATAAATGAAACTAGCTTTGCTTAACTTGTCGTAAAAATGTGAAATGACAGGAATGCACATTGCTGGACAGTTTATTGGAGACATTTACCCTATACATATAATTTGATAATATGAGAACGATGAGTACGTACTGAATCTAGAAATATGTAACTTGGTAGGTGTCGGGTACAACTACCAAGAGAGGTCAGCTAAAACACGAATACCTATCATTGTTCTTATACATGTAAAATTTGAAACCATTAGGCAGTCAAAGGAGTATGGTTAAGTTCTTGCAAAATATACAGACAGCGCTATTTGCCGACTTACTGTTTCATAAATTTCATTTTATTCTTCGTACCTTTATAAAATTTCTGAATGATACTTAAACTGAATTATGTTTATACTGATTCATCTTTTTACTTAATCATATATATACTGAAAATATTTATGCTGCATAATATCTATAAAATGAATCAGCACAAATTAATTCCTTCAAGGCAAGATTTAGTAACTATATATTCTTGTAACTTGTTTTGAGGCGACAAGACGAATATGAGAATTAAATGTTACTCAATATCGAATTTCGGGACAAAATGACGCTTAAACTAGAATTAAATGAGTTACTAAATGTCGTCTTTTTGGTGCAAAAAAAAAAGACAAAAGAACGGAAGTTCAGGTTTGTTGATTTTCGTCTTTTTCGGGACGAAAACACGAAACAACGAAACGGCACACATCATTCACAGTAGAACTCCTCTGACAAAATTTACTTTGAAAGGTGACCAGTTCACTAAATTGCTTTTTCTTTTGATGCAGAATGCATATTCATTTATAAAAATAATTTTCTGTATTGTTTTTTAAGGTACTAGAGTGCGTCTCCGCGGTAATGGTAGTTCACCTCATCAAGGAAGAGTCGAGGTATATCACAATGGTGAATGGGGTACAATATGTGACGATAACTGGAGGGATGAGGAGGCATTAGTGATTTGTAGGATGCTTAATTTTAGGTAATATAAGTATGTCTGTGTAATTATTTTGATAGTGATATCTATTGCTATCGATTTGTTTTATTTTGATACACAAACAATGTACGTATTAAACGTATCGCAACGTCGCAAGACCGACTGGTCCCTTTGTTAAGCTATCACTAGAAGTATTGAAACGTTGCGCCCGTAAGCTTGATAAAGCTTTTATGAACATGAAAGTAAGTATTTTAACTGGCATACAAATACAACTGCAAGAACAGTTAATATTTGACCGCAAAAACAACACAGAGAGGAATTTTTACCAACAATACTTTATGTATGTATTGTATCTAACGTTTTGAGAAAAGATGAAAAATGGCGTCAGACATTGGTTTGACAGTGTTAGTTATATTGCTTTACAATGTAGTATGTAAACTGCTTAAGGTGTAAGTTAACAGAGGATGTGTTTAGGTAGAGTCTAACATTGGTGGAAGTAAACCGTTTAAATATATAATGATTTTTCTCTGTAAATGTACTCAATTTGTCCTTGATATCTAGTTTTGCAACTTTTATGAATATTGCATATTTACGTCTCATCCGAAATAACATAATACGTAATCGGACTTGTTTTTGCAGCAAAGGAGGAAAGGCGTACGGCAAGGCACGTTTTGGTGAAGGAAGTGGTCCGATATTGCTAGACAATGTCGGATGTACCTGGGACCATATAGGTGATATATCGGACTGTTATCATAGAGGCTGGGGAAATCATAACTGCAATCATAGTAAAGATGCAGGAGTTGCATGCAGGTTATCAGGTAAATAATAATAGGATTTTAACATTAATTACTGCCACCATTTTGTCTAACAAAATCTATTGAGTCTGATTTTTGCGATTTTGTTTTTTCGTCGAGGCGAGATTTAGTAACTATTTTTTCTTGTTATTTCGTGTTTTGTGTGACTGAAAAGATTAAAACATGAGAATGAATTGATACTAAATCTAATCCTTTTAGGACAAATAACGAAAGAACAAGAATTCGGTGCATATTTATTGATGAAATTAATATTCTGCTTTGTTTAGCTACTAGAATGCGTCTCAGCGGTATTGGTAGTTCACCTCATCAAGGAAGAGTCGAGGTATATCACAATGGTGAATGGGGTACAATATGTGACGATTACTGGACGGATGGGGACGCATCAGTGATTTGTAGGATGCTTAATTTTAGGTATTATATGTATGTCTGTGTAATTATTTTGGTCACGATATATATTGATAACAACTTTTATTTTTTTACGCTAATAATGCACGTATTAAACGTGTCGCAACGTCTCAAAACCGACGGGTCCCTTTGTCAAGCTGTCACTTAAAGTCACGAAACGTTGATACACTTGATAAAGAAACCAGTAGGTCTTATGACGTTCCAACCCGTTTAATGAACATGAAAGTAAGTATTTTAACTTGCATACAAATACAACAGCAAAAACAGTTAACATTTGACCGTCAAAACAACACAGCTAAGGATTTTTACCTACAATGTTTTACGTATGCAGAATATCTAACGTTTTGAGAAAAGATGAAAAATGGCGTCAGACATTGATTTGACAACGTTAGTTGTGTTGCTTTATAATGTAGTAAGTAAACTGCTTAAGGTGCAATTTAACAGAGGATGTGTTTTGGTAGAGTCTTACATTGGTGGAAGTAAACCGTTTTAATATAACGACTATTCTCTTTAAAATGCACTCAATTAATCTATGATATCTAGTTTGCAATAACAGAATATCTAATCGGACTTTTTTTGCAGCAAAGGAGGAAAGGCATACGGCAAGGCACGTTTTGGTGAAGGAAGTGGTCCGATATTGCTAGACAATGTCGGATGTTCCTCGGGCTATATAGGTGATATATCGGACTGTTATCATAGAGGCTGGGGAAATCATAACTGCAATCATAGGAAAGATGCAGGAGTTGCATGCACGTTATCAGGTAAATAATAATAGGATTTTAACTTTGAATAAAAAAAATGATCAACTTACCACGAGAGAAATTTAAAAATAAACTTAAACTGCTCTGCCAAAACATAGAATGATATTACTAACAACACAACATAATTGGAGGTGAACCTGGGATTGTGAGAACTGAGTATAATGTAGATACATGGTATGTTGGGAAATAATGGAATCGTGACTCAAATGTTTCAAACGAAACACTAACAATTTAATTTGCAAATTTTGAACATGCTATATCTTTTGTTTCGCATTAAGGTTTTTTTAAGAATAAACAGTTTACAATGTTAATTTCTACAAGGTCGTACCCCTTGGTTCTTCATATTCAAATATACTCAATTAGATATAGAAATTGTACAATGTATTAGGTTTGCAGAAATTGTATGCAGTCTTCGAATAAAACAAGGTATCTGATCATTTATTTTAATGCTTCCGAGTTTGCAATGTTACGACACTTTTCGTTGGTTAATTACACTGTATTAATGGATGATAGACTTGAAAGATTGAAATGAACATTTTATGTACAGCTTGACGTCATCATTTATTGTTTATCATCCGTTGTATTCAGAAACATAATGTCAAATTGAAATGAATACTATGGAGATTAAAGACCATATATTGACGACAATTTATCAAATACATAATATTTCTCAAATATATCTAGGCTATACAGTCAAAAAAGGACCATTGCCTACAGCGCTAGAAATGTTATAAACGCGCAGCTTGTTGTGCATATCGAAACAATATTTGCACGCGTAAAAGAACTGCCTAATTGTAATATTTGGATGACCTAGATCAACTTGTATAATGTACGCCAATGGACACTAAGAACACGTTTTCATTACGTTTCATATGGTAGTAAAGATATAATCAACACATGTTTGTATATTACGTAAACATATATAACTCGAGATTGGAAAATGTTGGATAAATGATAACCTCAAGCCGAATTATAGCCAAACCCTATCTGACCATAGTTATCATCAAGTAAAACAATATTAGAGGACATTTTTAGTAGTAAGTAATTTGGCATTTTTGCTTTTGGCATGCTCCTATAGAGAGTATGCAATGCGTATGAAGATATTTAATGTTGTTTGTAAAATCTAAAAAGTATTTATATGAAATACTCAAATTACCTTATGACCCGAAAAAATATTGTTAAGTAGGAAAGTTTACAATTCTTAATAAAATATGACTGAAAGTTTATATACGACCACTAACAACGAGTTACAGGATTAAACTAGGTAATTTATGGAAGATTTTAAA